CTTCGCAAATCTTGCCATTCTAGCTAGAGTGCTTGGTGAGGATGACAAAAAAGAGTGCTGAGGGAAGCGGATCGAAAACGACAAAACAGAGTGCAGAGTGCTACGTGAAAAAACAGACTGCAGAGTGCCTTGTGAAATCCTAGATATAAGGAGGGTGGTGTTGCTACTGTTTTAATGTTGAAATGTTTGAGAATCTAGTTAGTATATCTCATAAAGTTGTGTGTGGCCAAGGCCCTTGCTACAGATAACCCCACACACAACTTTATGAGAAACATTAATTAGATTCTCAAACATTTCAACATCAAGACCATAGCAACCCACCCTCCTCATATCTCTACGCGTTTGCCACACGACTTTATGAGAAACACAACAGTGAGAAACTATCTCATTGTTTTGTTTTGGTCTGGAATATTTATCGAAAGGTTTGTTTTGGTGTTGAAATGTTTGAAAATGTAATTAATGTTTCGTAGACCCAACTTTGTATAAAATATTAATTAGATTTCAAGTAATACAACTATATAATTAAGGTTTCATATGAAGTTGGGTATATGAAACATTAATTAGATTTTTAAACATTTCAACACCAAAACAAACTCTTTGATAAATATTTTAATACCGAAACAAACTTTTTAACACGAATCAGAACATATTTGTGTCATTTTAAAAAAAAATTTTGATATCAAAATCTTTGTCACACCTAACTTTATATAAAACATTAGTTAAATTTTCAAATATTTCAACTTCAAAACAAACTCTACAATAAAAATTTCAATGCCAAAACAAGCCTTTTAATATGAATCAAAATATATTGGCAAAAATATGACATAGGGACCCGAAGTTACACAAAATTCACAATTTTGGACCTGAACTTCAATTGCACTCAATTAAGATCTCGAACTCCACAAAATTCTCACTACTAAAAAATGACCTATACGGACCGAACATATACGGACCGAATAGTGTTGGTCTGAAAAAATAAATATTCGAACCAATATCGGTCCGAATATATTTAGGTGGCACAAAATATACTAATCAACATATTCGGACTGGTATCGGTCCGTATATTTCTGGCGAGAATCCACAGTATAAAAGCGCCAATAATATTCAGACCGAAAATGGTCAGAATATTATTTTTGAAAAAAATAAATATTAAATAACAAAAAATATGAATAAAATATTATTTAAATAAATAAATACGGACCGATTTCGATCTGTATATATTCATCAGAAAATACGAAATTTCATTTTTCTATTCGAACCGATTTCGGTCTGTATATTTATTATTTTTAGTAAAAAATAAATATTAAATAACAAAAATTAGAAATGAATTATTATTTTTAATGAAAATATACAGACCGAAAT